TGGAGGCCATCGCTATTAGGTTGGAGGTCATCGCTATTAGGTTGGAGACCATCGCTTCTAGGTTGGAGGCCATTGCTTCTAAGTTGTTTGACGAACGCTGTACGACCAATCGCCCAGGATCTCATTGAGATGCGCCGCGAGCGCCTGGCGATGCCACGACTGCAGGTGACAGTGTCGGTGGTATTGGTGGTGTTGAAGGGTTTCAAGAAGGTCCCTTGAAGAGCCGGGGGAATGGCATACCTAGATCTTCCAACTCTGCAAATGGTTTGCCGGTTCATCATGTTTCATCTATACTATAAAGCAGCCCAGTTCGGCAGACTGTTGCAATTGTTGGAAGATCATGATAGTTATCGTTCTAACGTGTGTGTTTTTTCCCAGCTTATGAACTGGAGATTTTGCCAGACAAATCCATCCATCGTGGTGAGCAAATCGGGAGAACTGGTGTTTCTGTGGACATGTTACAGACTAGACACTAGACTCTAGGGTGGGATTCATGGCATTTCATAGCCACCCTGAATTGAGTGAGCCAGTTAGCTTCCGAAGCCGATCGTGAAGCTACGCGAAGGGTTCTTGTAGCATGACTATGGAAGAAGTTTGACAGTCATGAATGCAAGCCGCTGCTAGCCCGCTAGCTCTTCCAAGAACACCCCCCTTGACGGAACGTCCTTGGAACGTCCCCGCAGCCCTTGGCTCAGTTACGAGGAATGTAAAGACCCCAAGAAAACCTGAATGTGGCGATCCATTTTGGTCGAGAGTGACCCAATTGGAGGTCATGCCAGTCATGCCGGGGAAACCATCAGAGTGCAGTTTGAAGCAGGCTTCATGCGGTTCAGACCCTTCAGACCCTTCAAAGAAGTATCAGATGCTCAAGGGACAAGACAAACCTTTGAAACATACGTTACCGTTACATGTTCTTTTCATGCCGTTCTGGATAGTCTAGCCAGTCCAGCAGTAACCCTGAGTGACATGTTGAACCCCCATCAATTGATCACGTCTTCAGGTATTTTCCATGAACTTATTATACAAGTCTCATCCACATTTCTCACACTGTCGCTCGGCCCTCCGGGCCATGTCAGCATCACACACCCTGCGGGAGCTACGGACTGAAGTGGACGCCGAGTTGCTGCGTGGGGTGCCGCTGGAGGTTTGCTTGAACCTTGAAAGCAGTTGCGTGTTTCTTTCTTTTACTCCTTGCCACCAGTGGAGCGGTGGCCCAGGGGCCCAAAACTTTTTTCCCATGTGTACACCACGGTGCAGCGGATGGGGATGGTGGAGCATTTGGGAAAGGATATGGACTTGTATTGGATTTTGGAATGATCCTACCTGAATAGTACCATGCGGGTCAGTAGATGAATGAGTGAGTCCGCCTGCAAACAGAGAACTCAGGCTGGTTGTTCAGGGCATATAAAAGAACAACCATTGCTGATTGGCCAATGTGCCCATTCTTCGAGGAATCCTCTTCTACGAGAGCTGAATGAACGGAAAGCACGGATGTTTATTCCGAGGTCAGATAGCATCAGTATCATGAGTGTGTTTTTTGGGATCCTTGCGGATAGTTACAATGCCCCAAATACCAAAGGGCCATTCCCTTTTACAACGCTTCGTGGAAAGTTGGTTGTGTTCGTGGTGTTCCTTCCAAGGGTTCAGGGCTGAGGGATGTGGAACAGGTATGTTTTACGCAGGACAAGGCTGTGCATTGGAGGAGGCAAAGTTCTCCAAAACTGAATACAAAATTATTGAAATTCCTTCTCAGGGTGATCCCCATGAAGGGCAGCTGCAGGGCAGTTCGGACGAAGAAATCCACAGTTTTCATGGAGATGCTTCTAAAGGACAGCATCGCTTTGTGTCAAACATTGATCCCTGGGGATGAGAGCAGTCGGCTTTGCAATAGGTTTTGTGTGAGAAAAACACATGTTGCTAAGAAGCTTCGCTGTGACTTGAGCGAATCAAGGCCCACGAATCAACGTCTTTGCTACATAAGAAAGAGCAATTGGTGAAAGCTCTTCAGAGCACCAGTTTTGCGGGTCCACGGAAGTCCTGGCGGATCAGGCGGATCGGATTTTCGCCCGTTTCCTCCCGAATCATCCACGTAGCTCCAAAAACCAGTGGTTTTGGTACGTAGTGGATTTATCAATTGAGGCAGTCCCCTGTGGAGAGCTCTTCTGTTGCCCATCTCCGAGCTTCTGGGGTTCTGGGACCACCAGCTCGACAGCTCCTTTCTCCTCCCCCCCAAAACAGAGCTCTCAACCAATCGCTCGGGACCTCGCCGCTCCCAAAACAACCCATTGGGACCTCGCCGTCCGCCGGCCTCGGTGTTTCTCCTCCTCCGTCGCCGCTTAGGAGTGGATGGGCCAAGCACTTCGTGCCACCCGACCCTGGGATGTTCCAGGCGGGGGCGGTGTTCAACCGGGAGACCGCTTTCGGCCAAGACGGTGCCGACCGGCGAGCCAAGAGGTTGGGTTGATCAGAACTTAGGGCCTAGGGGATTTGAGCAGATATCTGATATCGGTGCGTCAAAGAAATGATTGTATAGGTGGTGGGAAAACTTGTGGAAGAACCCTGACTTTCATGACTTTCCACGGATTTCAGAAACGGTACACTCCTTGGACTCATCATGAATCGGAAGTGAAAAACCACCTATATAGTTGTCAATGGACCTGGTCAATGAGGGGACCATCGTCCACTTCCATGATGATTCGAGGAGTGTATCTTTTCGGCTCAGCCCGACCTGTTGGGAGGTCATCCACATGCTATTGAGTGTCCATGCATATGTTTGCGGCCCCCCGTTTTCGGGTGGATGTGGAATGCTGTGGATGTGTTGTGGGGAGACCCAGTCCCACCCAGCAACCCCTTTGCACAAGGCGCTTCTTGGTGCCAACATTCAGAGCTCTCTTTCTGGCTCTTCAGATTTCCAGGTTTTGGAAGGGGCAGGACGGAGACGCCCAGACCTCCATGGAGAACATCCATGCAAACTCCATGGCGACCCCATGGCCCACTGGGTTTTGGGGATGACCGGTCTGGCTGCAGGACCGAAACCGTTTTCTGGAACGGTCGGGTCGATTCGGCGATGACGGTGCTGGTGCTGGTGGTGCTGGTTGTGGTGCTAGTCTCTCTCTCTCTCTCTCCCTATACATATATATATATATTGAACCATATTGAACCGTTGTGGCTCCCCCATGATCCCCACTGGCAGGTAGCCTTTGAGAAGTGGAAGGCTCTCCTTTTCCACCCGGCCCTTCGCTGCGTCGGAACTTCGGTGGCCGGCGCGACCGCAGGTCGACCATCGGAACTACGAGCTGAGTCGCCAGACCGAGACTTGATCGGTGTGGAGGTTGGAGGAGTTGGAGAGGATAGGATGGTGTTTCTGATCATCCTCGGTTTGTTTGACTGAGGTGAGAACCGTCACGTTTCTTCAGCGACTTTTCTGTCAACTTGTAGAGGCACGATTTCATGCTGTCCATTGGTCCTCATATGCCCTGAGCCATTGGTGTATCTGAATTGAACTGATGCTTGGGTCCAGTTTGGGAAGAGCTCGATTGACTTCTCTCAGTCAGCGAGTGCGTGCTGAAACAGCGCGGTGTTTGCTTTTGTTGAGCAGCTACCGTGTGGTTGTTCTGAAAACAGTTGGATGGCGGTGCGATCCCCAGTTTCTTTAACGTCAGAGCTCTTTCTTTTCACGGGATAGCAACAGAAGAAGCGAACCACAAACATGTACAATGTACACACATGTGCAAAAGTTATGAACCGAGCCCCAACAAAGGTGCTAGAAGCGTGCCAGAAGCTGACGACGTTTCGTTGCAAGATTTCCTTTAGAATATCATGCCACTTTGCTGAGGAACACTACGATGAGTTTCTCAGTCATGATTGGCAAACATCACGTTTCTCTGCTGCACTTTGCCAAACGTAGCAGTTCGGGTGAGCACAATTCCGAGCCGTTTCAAGAGGTTGATGCTTGCAATTGCAAGGCAGTGGCTTGCACAGCCAGTGGCATGCCCCTTAAGAGCTGGCTTGCACGGCCAAGGTTGGTACAAGTTGGCTTCAATGCTGATTGTTTACAACTCCAAAGCGGCCTTCGTAGCTACTCTCTTCGTGAGCATCCTGGCGAAAAGGCTCTGGCTCTTAGTAGGGTTGTTTTGTTGCATGGCTTGTGGTGAGGAAACACATTCACAGTTTTTTCAGTGCCCGGACGGGCTCCAACTACCTCCTGACAAGGTGTTTTTGCATGGCGTCGGCGGTTGGAACTCAAGGGGCGGTCCTTCCCTCCCCAATGCCCTTCACGCTGGATGGAGCACGGTAGTAGTTGCTTCGTTCACTGGCCTGGCTTGGCTGTCCCCAAAGTCCATTGGAATGCACAAACCCCTGAGTCCGTTGGAATGTCCGCCAACTCCAAGATGAGTAGGCTCTCAGTAGGTGTTTTTGTATTGTGTTCAGTGTTTTTGTGCAGAAGTGACAGAATTTTGGGTCGTTGATTTACCATATCATATAAAATTGGCTGTCTATGGCTGCTTTGTTTTCTTTTGATTCTTGACTCCTTGACTACACTAGCACCACTCTGTGTCTTTTTTGCTTAGGTTACAGGTTGATGTATATTGATGTCATATTGTTTCCTGGCTAGCAAGCCCCCTTTTTGGGTGTAGCTTGTATGCATATACCCCAACATTATACACCGATATGCACATGTGATATATATATATATCTCTTTATATAATTACTGTAATACAAACCACTAAGAGTACTATAGTACTATAGTATAAAGTACAAATGACATCGTAGTAGTATAGTGACTAGTGGTGTTCTTCGTTCCAGGTTCCTGTCTACAACTGATTGAAAGGTCGGAACGGACAATGTTTGTAGGGGACTCCTTCTTCGTGTATCAGCAGGTGGATGGGACTTCACTGCAGGTGAATCGAACCATCCGAGCCCCCCAGGTGCGGGCATCACCTTCGCATGTCGAAAAAAGTTGAGTGCACACCATTTCGCACCATTCCTCATGTAGATTTACCAGTACCTTTGACCATTCACCTCCTTTAGTTTGCCCGTCGACGCGAATCCACGGATTCGCTCCTGCTTTTCTCAGGTCTTCTGGTGGGGATTCTACTTGCCATGAAGCTGTTGTCCATGGAGCTTCTTGCCTAGTCACCGCAGGAACTTGTACCCATGTTGAA